AACGCGCGGCTCCCCTCCCTTCGCCTGCCTGCCTTGCAGCCTGCCTTCCTCTTCCCGGCCAGCGCGGCCCCGCATCACTCTGGCGGCGGCTCCTTCCTGGCACCCTTCGGTAAGCGAGTTTTCTCCATATGGACGGACGCTATGCCTCCGCATTAGCGATCCCGGAGAAGGGATCGCTATGCGGATTCGTCGTTATACGGTGCGCTCATTATGCAAGGCACCACTGTATCAGAAGCATTTAATTCAGTCTCCAATTAGTTGCAGTCTGTATAGCTGGCTATGAAGACAGAGGTTGGAAGTTTCATTCTCCACCATTCCTCCTGTGATTAGAGCTAGCCTGTGTCACTTTGGGCAAGCTATGGTACCTCCCACAAGAAGTGAATGGTAAATCTGTTTGTCTTCTACCTGGAAAACTCTAAAAAGCATCGCCATAGGTCAGAATTGACTTGATGGCACATGATGATGATGATTACTCTGTACGGAATTAGACAAATGATAAATTGTTTTAATTTGTTTTGCTTAGATAAGCTAGATACAGACCAGGGCTTATGATATGAGCTTGCTTGGATAAATCCTAATTAAAGCTATATACATTTCTTGGACTGGCCATAATGATAAACTATGATTAGTTGTAAAGGTTTCCAGCTTGCTCCCCAGAGACATGAGAGAAAGTGGGAAGAGTCTAAATTATGATTTACCTTCATACACAGATCAGACAATTGTGAGAGAAGTAGCTGTTAAGTAATTCAAAAGGAGAGAGAAAAATATTCAGCTCAGAGGCAGCAGAAAATGAGGCATAAATACACCTTACAGAAGAGCCAGAATTGTGCTGGATATCCGCATGCATTAAAAGGAGAAAGAACTTGCACCATGCTTGTTGCATCTCTGTTCCTGTGCCTCATGACCACATTCCTGGTGTTTTGTCACCAACCTGCAGTTAGTCATGGAAACTTCCATAATTCCTCCAGCAATTGTGTACATTGTCACTGCAGAAGACAGCAGTGATAAATGAGGCAGCCCAAACAAAAAATTCTAACTTTGAAACTGGTCTTTGGATCAGTACCAAAAACTGGACATGAAATTTCTATTTCAAAATACTGAAATACTGGACAACACCAGCAATCATTACGTCAGACTGCACAGGGAAGCCATTGAAATCCACAAGCACAAGCACAGTTTCAACAAAAAAGAGGAAAGTATAAAGCTCAACAAAACTTGGCTCCCAGCTATCAAACATACTACGTGCAAAAGGTCAACAAACTCTACCCACCCACAAGGACAGGGGATCACTACACACAAAAGACCAGCTAACCACAGGAACAGATAATCTCTTCCCCTTAGCACAACAATACACCCACAACAATACACACTAATCACCCATCTACAGGAAAAGACGAAAGCCTATCTTACAGCCATAAATACTGCACTCCCAAGCCAACTTCACCAGAGTACAGGTTGCTGTCCTCTGAAGATGCCGGCCACAGAGACTGGTGAAACGTCAGGAAGAACAACCTTCAGAACATGTCCAAAGAGCCTGAAAAACCCAGAACAACCAAAAAATTATAACTTTGAAACTGGTCTTTGGATCAGTACCAATTTTGTCACAAGTGCAGCAGACAGTCTCCTCTTGCTCTGTGCCAAATTTCAAAGTTTGGGCAAAGGGTTTTCAAATTGCTTTTAAAAGTAAAACTGTTCCTCCTCCCATGCAGTAACAAGCAACCTTTAAATGCCCCCGGATTTAAAACAGATCAAATATATTGAAAAGACGAATCTTGCTTACCTTGAAAGAGAATGGATGGTCCCTACCTGTCTTTTAAAAAAAAAAAAAAA